GAAAGAAAGAAAGAAAGAAAGAAAGAAAGAAAGAAAGAAAGAAAGAAGCTAATCAAAGGCAGGCGAGGAGGAAGAGGATGGCCCGTTTCACAGAAAATTAGACAGTAATCCAATGAGACCCTATGCTTTCCTCTTCTCTCCCTCCTTCCTCTCCCCTCCCCCATTTTTCGCCTAAACAAGCAAATAATCGTGCATTTAAAAAACATGTCACGCAAGCTATGCCACAATTTTCTCTGCAGGCCCCTTTTCCCCTCCCGTATTTTGTTTTTTAAAACTTCCAGCAATTGAAAAAGTCTGGATCGCTGACGAGATCCAAACACATTTAAGAACCGACTTGGGTGATCGAACAGGGTAACAGCCTGCCCTTCGTAAAAGAAGCCTTGAAAACCCGTTCTTTTTTGTTGCTTTTCTTAGACCTTGAAGGTTTTTAAAAGCCATCCATCCGAGAATAAAGAGAGAGAACCCCTGAAATAAAGGTACGCCGTGCTAAGAAAGTCAACCCCGCTCAACATTCAGCGAAGAAAAGTACCAGGAGCGCAGCTCGAAAGCAGGTTTCACACGAAAAGGTTTCAGGGGGAACCCAAGGAAATCTCCTTCGAAGAATTGGTGTAAACTCTGGGAAAGCCACGCGCGCGCGCGCACACACACTCAACATACAAACACGCACGCTGCGGTAGGATCTGAACTGAACGCTATGACAGGCCCACTCCGACTTGCGACCAACCCCCCCCACAAGCCAAGCACGCTTGAAACTGACACGACCGACGTTGCGAGTCGGTCTCTTGGCAGCTTTTCAACAGCTGCGCCCCGCGCTTCTACTTTTCCCACAGACCCGGTTCGGCCCAAGGAGCTAACGGGAAGGGGCGGGGGGGGGAAGTTGACCAGCATCCACGGCCGGCCTCCTGGAGCCTTTTGCGGTTCTTTTTTATTTGTAAATAGCGCCAAAGAAAAACGAGGCTCCTAGAGCAGTCAAAGCGAGCCAGGCCACCCTTTGGCCACCATAGAACAAGTCAACTTAGCCCACGATCGAGAAGACGCGGAAAAGCAACAAGCGAAGGCAAAACCTTGAGAAAGTTTCTCACTCTCTCCGGGTTCAATAAAGGTGAACCTGGTTTTTGGGTTGTTTTTTTAAAGTGAGGCGAAGAGGATATTCGCAGCGTCTGCGGCTTCCCACCCTTCAAGCCTTTTCCACGGCGACTGTCTGCTTTCTTTCTGCAAGAAAACAGATTTAAGAGAGGAGTTTACGGAGGGAGGGAGGGAGAGGGGGCAGAGACCCGTTAGCAGCGTTGCAAACGCGGCAAGGGAAAGCCGACGTCGGGCTTGTTTTGCACGGGCCCGCCGTCCACGCCAGGCCAAGCATTGCAAGGCACGGAGAATGTGTGTGTCGATTTTGGGGGGAGGGGGGGAGAGAAGAGGGAGGGCGCCCAATTTTTAAAGGAGGGAGAGGTCGGTTGGTGGGAGTTCTGGGCGCTTTGAACAAAGAAGGCCACTCAACCCGCGCGGAGCCCTGAACCGGCTGGTCTCTCGCCTTTTCTCTCTCTCTTTTTCCTTTTGCAGGCCTGAAACTGACCGGCCCTAAGGAGGAAAACCTGCGGCGGAGGGTGGCCCTGAGTTCCTACGGGATTTCCCGCCGCCGGGACTTCGCGGCATGCAAAAAAAAAAAAAACAAGGAAGAAGAAGAAGAAAAGCGCGTTTCTCTCTGGTCCTTCGGCGCCCCCGCCGGCTCTCTTCCTCCCCCCTCCCCCGGCCCTCCCCATCAACCGGCCCCAGCAAATCGAGAGGGAGGGGGGTCCGTTCCCTCCTGCAGGTCGCCGTCGCCGCCGCCACTCTCTCCCCTGGCAACCTCAGCCCGCCTTCCCTTCCAACCCCCGTCGGCCCCGCGCGTTCTTCTCTTTTTTTTTTTAACCCTTCTTCTTCAAAGGGCCGATAGCGCCCACTGCAGGCGCGCCGCGCCGCTGCAAGCCTCTCCTTTCTCTCCCCCCGCCCCGCTCCTCCCTCTGAGCCCGGCCGAGCAACTAGCGGCGGCTCTCCGGCACTGAACTTTTGCTCAACTCTTTCGCCCGCCTCGGTCTGAAGTTCACCAGCGAGCCTCTCCTCCCCACCCCCCTCCCCGCCGCCGTCACCCCGGCAGACATACAAACAAACAGCGCCGGGCGCAAGGCAAAAGAAAGCCCAGCCGAGCCGGGAACTTTCCCTTCGGCTTTGCAAACCGCCGCTTGGAAGAGAAAATCCCAAGAACCGCTCCGCGACTTTTCTGTCCTTCTTCTCCACGCCCCCCCCCCCCCCCCCCCCCCCCCCCCCCCCCCCCGGCCCCTCGGCCCCCCGAAAGCCCCCGGGGAGGGGGGGGGGGGGGCAGCAAGCGAAAGAGCGCGGACACCTACTTGTGGCCAGCTTTCTGGCTCTGCCTTTGGATCGCATGGGTGCCAAGTCCTGCGGACGCTGCTTGGATGGTGTTGGGGGGAAGAGAGTTCTGGGAGGGGGGGAAACCAGTGCTCGGGCTTTTTTGTCCCCTCTCTTTTCCCTCCTTTTATTTGTGTTTCCTCCCCCCCCCCTCTCTTGTCTTTCTCTCTCCCTCCCTCTCTCTTTCTCACCCAGACTCTCTTTCTCTCAACCCAGAGCTCGCTATCTCTCCAGCATTGTCAGTTTGGACACCTTCGCACATGCGCACGGGCGGCTTCTCTCTCTCTCTCTCTCCCCCCCCCTTTCCCCTCTCGGCTCAAGTCCCCCCCTCCCCCCCCTTCAACATCTCCCGGTCGCCACTGCCAAAAAGAAAAGGGAAAAAAGTTTGGAGAGATCTTTCACTTTGGGGATGTGGGGAATCTGGTCCGCGGAGCGCAGGAGAGCCCGCTTCTCTCTCTTTCTCCTCCCGGGGAGATCCTTTAAAAACAAAAAGTGAGAGGAAACTAAAAGGATCGGACGGGCAGGGATGCGCGGATTTACCCCGGGACTACGCGCCCCGCGTAAAACCCTGGCATAGCGAAGGATGGTGGACGCTTCTCCACCCACCCACCCCAATTAATTCCACGCCACGCCCTTCCCCACTCGAGGGAATTCCGCCGCGCTCCTGTCCTGGCACGTTTACTCGGAAGCAAACGCTCAGCTCTCGTTCCCCGGCCGGCCCGTCCGCCCGCCCGTCCGCCTGCCTTTAGCTAAGCTCCGCAGCTGCCCACGGAGGGAGACGGCAGCCCCGCGCTTCCAATGGACGGTACCCCGCGTTTCCTCCGGGGGCAGCTGGTGCGGCGATTTCTCTCTCTCCTCCCCCCCTCCAGCGCCCCACAGATGGGGAAGGGCGGGAGGGGGGCATTGAAAAAGAAGGGGATCTCCCGGAGGGAGGACGGCCCGCTTTGGAAGACAGCAAAATCACCTTTTTTTTTCCACCTCGAGTTGGGAAAGGGGGGGGGGCAATAAATCTTATGCCTTGGGTCTGCCTGTCCCTCGGGGCCTCCCCGTACCCCCCCCCCCCGATGTTGGCCCTCCCGGTTTAGCTTAAGCAGTTGCTCGAAAGTTCTTCTGCTCCGTTTTCAGGCGTAGGATCCATCGGCCGCTCCTTTACTCGAGAGGAGACACAGCTGCCCTCTGGCCCTGTCTCTTAAGGCGGAAGGAAGGCTGCATTTCTGGGGTTCAGCATCTGGGCGCCCCCTCCCCCCCATCCTAACCTTCTGTTTACTCGAAAGTAAAGCGCGCGACTTTCTATCGCGGTTCCAGGGGGAAACGGCCCCCGCTGCTCAAAGAAGTAGGAGATGATTCCCCCCCTCAGCTTCTTGTAGCCCTCTCCACCTCTATTTAAGAAGTTAGAAGGGCAGGATTTTCTCCCGAGTAAGCTTACTTTGAAGCAGCAACTCGGAGAAACCCACCCCCATAGAGATTGGTGCATTTAAACATTGATTGGATTTTTATTATTTAATGCTCGCACCCATCACGAAAGAAAGCTGTTCACCAACAAACAACCCGGTAGAGACCGAAAGCTTTTAGCACCCAGCCTGGTTACAAAGTAAATCTTGATTTCCGTAGGGCTTCCTCTCTAGTAAACATATTTGGGATCTGGCCTTTATATGTCAATCGGCTATGCCTTTACTCGGGAGTAGCTCTCTGAATTCCTAGTGAAAGGTTTCCCATCGGTAAGTTTGGAAGCAAGATCGGACAAGACTTGAACAACGACGCCAACCCAGTCAATTCGCAGCTCCCCAAAATGCCCATTTATTCGAGTCAACGGGATTTGCTTCGACGTCATATATGTATGATTTGAGAGAATTGGGCAAGTCTTGCGGGGAGGGGGAATCCCTTCGGCTGGGCTCGCTTCTCTCCTCTTCCTTCAGATGTAACTGAATTGATGATCTTAAGAAATCCGAATTATTTCAGTCACGCGAATAAACCTGTCGATAGCTGAGCATTTACTGGAAGCCCGGATCTGGCTTTTAAGAATCGGGCCCCCTGTTAGAGGTACTAATCAACTCGAGCTACAAGAATGGGTTTCTTTCTTTTTATTTTTAATTTTCCTCCGGAACAATCTCTTTGTACTAAATAGCTTTGGTCAATACCTCCTCGACACTATTTATGTGCCCATTAATATCTGTTGCAAAATTCTGCTAGATACCATAAAATAAAATTATGGGCTTTGAGACCCGAGGGTTGAGCTGGTGCGTTCAAGGAAGCCGCTATGGTTTGGCATTTCAAATTCTCTCTCTCTCTCTCTCTTTCAGCACTTCATGGCCGCTGCCTAATTCTAAGAAGAGAATGCGCCCGATCCTACACACAATTACAGCGGTCACAGTCCGCTGCAGTTGTAGGCGTGCGTAAAACCGCAGCCATCCCCACCGCATTTTGAGATAACCGGGGAGATCGTATCGCAAGGCAACCACTCACAACCCCGGGAGCAAACGGTTTGTAGAGTAGCCATAGCTATTCCAGACACGGCCCCATTGGGACTGATGGAATTTGTTTCGGAACAAACATGTTTCTAATCGGACAATAAAACAGCAGAGACCAGAAGTGGGAGGAGGGAGGCACTTTCTGGGAAGAATACCCTTTGAAAAAGATACCTACGAAAACAGGGGTTTTAAAGGGGTAAAGGTATTTCAATTTCGAGGCGACGTTGAATATGCAACAGGCAGCGATCCGCTTCCGATCTCGAAAAGGGAACGTGTGAAGAGGGATTAAACACCACACACACCACATCTTCCTTTCTCCAAGTTGAGCACACGCCAGCTTCTCCTAGAGACCTTCCCGGACGTTTTCCTTTCGAGGGAAAACGCATATACCCGATTCCCGGTATGTGTTCAAGAGAGGGGAAAATCTGGCGAGAGAAGAAAAGATCGTGTTTGACCGAAATGAAGTTAAGTTTAGTGTGTCACGGGTCAATTGAGGGCTTTTTAAGTATGCCAGCTGAATGAAACCCACATGTGCAGCAGCAGTCTACCTGTAAACGGTTCTCGTCTTCAATGCGTTTCTCCAGGTGAACCTGCCTTAGTTCTGGGGGGTAGGAGGGGGAGATCCGCACTCTGACGGATCGGGACAGAAGAGTCCCTTTTGCTAAAGAATTCGCTCCCAGAAATTAGCTTGCTCCGCGAGAAGGTCTGAGGGAAACCTCAAACTCGAGTATTTTAGGAAGAAAGGCCTATTCCCGAGAGGGCATCGGATGTGTGAATGCACACCTCGTGGTATTTACCCACCCGCCTCGAGTCCCAGAACAGGCCAGGTTATTAAAGACAAGGGAGATATATTATATGAAATAAGTAAATCAAATGTAGCCCAGAGAAGTCTGGGCAGAAGTGCGTGGGGTAGGGGGTGGGGGTGATTAACAAGAAAGGAAGAATTGCAGCTGAAGTGTTCCCCGCGGTTAAAAGGTGAGGGGGCGAGATGGGGATACACGGACCCCCACGGCGGAAAGGGGGACCCGCCGGAGACAGCCTTCCTTCCTTCCTAGATAGCCAGGTGCACAATTACTGCTGCTTGCAGCCGCCTGTCTACTCCATTGGAGTAGGCCTTCTTTTATAAGCCCCCCCGCCCTCTCCAGCCAGGTTCCCGCGCCCTTGAGAGCCCCGGGGGAAGGTGGAGAAATCCAACAGGTGAAGAGTGGCTCTTTTTCTTCCCCTTCAGACGAAGGGAAGGCTCGGGCGGGGGCGATGCGTAACTCTTAAAGGCACAGTAGGAAAGGAGCGCGCTGGAGCGTTTCTCGTTTCTTTCGCTCCGGCCGCACCTGCGGGCCTCTCCGTTTCCTTGCTGTTGGTCAGACGTCTCGGGCTGCCATCCCTCTTGCCTCGGCCTCTTTGCAGGCCAGCGAAGACTTCTCTCCCGGCGATCCTTGGGCCTTGCGGGCGAGCAGCTCACCAAGTATTCCCTGGCCACAGCGGGGAGGCCCGGTGGAGAGCTCCAGACGCTAAATGAGATCTTAACGAGAGTTCACACGTGGGGCTAAGGGGTTGCTTGACTGGGTTTTTAGGTTTAGGGACGCGCAAACCGAAGCGCTGACGCTTGTAAACTGAAACTTACGGGCCTGCCCTGTTATGTAAATCCAATCGGGGCTCATATGCAACAAGACACGGTTTAGACATCATAGCTTGAGGCTCTGTGTGAACGCCCCTCAATCGGGAATAGCGATCAGGTGGCCAAGATGAGAACCAGGGACACCCACCCCATGTTTAACTGTATAGTGCAAAGACCTCACATTGAGGGCGGGGTGAGGAAAGTGAAACAAATGTCCCCTGGCTGCTTAAGCTTTGGAGGAAAAGCGGGAGATAAATGTAAATCGTTATCTCCATCTCTCCCTGACCTCACCGTGAGCGGCTTCAACCTAAAGGATTTGCACAGGGTTCCTGAAACCGAAACCCAAAATTAGGAAGGGCCAAGCAAAACTATAGAATTGCAATGCCCCGCAAATATGATCCGACTCGAGATATTTGCAAGGCAGAATGACCGACCGAAAGCCACGGAGTATGAGTAAATGTCTTGAGTACCTCTTGAGTAAAGGAGAGTTCGGTCCCAGCCCAATTTATACCCATGGCATTCAACTGGCTTTGCTAATATTCTTTTAATATTGCATCTTTAGCCTTCTCCTGACTTGGACCAACACATTGTATAAATACAGCGTTTTTAAGCAATTCTTGTTCGCTTGCCTTTGGCGCTAGTCTGACTGCCTCCTTCTTACGCTTTGTCTGTAAACTAGGCGAGGGTTGGCCAGGTTTATTGTTTTCCCATTCAGACGATTATGCAGTCGCCTTCTCTACGCTCTCCTTAGAAAGCCCCCCTACTCCGAAGCAGAGGACGGCAGGGTCGTTACCAGGTTTATCCAGAAAGGGATTCCGCTGAAACAGGAGTAAAGGCACCCAAAACTATGAAGTCTTCAACCATGGTTTGTTAATCAAGCCACAGCCGAGTTTATTCACCAGGAAAGAGGAAACCAAGTATGTTAGGAGTCCGTAGGGTGTGTAAACCCAATGTACCACACCTGCTATCC